GCATTGCTACATAGCCAAACCGTTTTTAAGGTATTAAGTAATAAAAATGTGGCTAACACGGTAGTGTGGTAGCTAATAATGCTTTTAAACTTCTAAACATATCGTATACCTACTTCTATTTAAAATTAAAAAAAAAATGTTACATATTTATTTCTGTCTATTTATTCAAATCAAGAGCCAAAACTTCTTGTCAACTAGAACCCTTCTGTCTAAAGCCCTTCTTGAGTGTATTATAGGTGGGTATCAGGGTCAGAGACCAGGGTATCCCTCGGGCTGTCAATTATTTTTTCGGAAAACTCCAAAAAACCGAAACCAAATTCATAAAAAAATTTAAAACCCACACTGCACACAGCTTTGACTTGTTACTTGAGTTGTTGAACGTCGAACGGGAACATAGAAAAGAAAATCCGCCACGATTAGTAATAGCATTTAACCAAATTCAACATAAAAGAAGCAAAAATGGCGTCGGATGTCTGCAATCTGTATTTAGTTACGAGTTAATTAAGAATTGAGAAGAGGCAGATATATCAGCGCTTGGTGAAATAGAAAAAACAGCATAAGGATCATATGGCGTGACTTAAGATGGTGCCGATTTGATGATTTCATTGCATTATGGGAAATGTGCGGGTAATTTGATTTAAAAACTTTCGCTGGGTTATTTTAAGCTTATTTTGTCTTAATACCTAATTTTAAAAAAAACATATTTGTTTATGTTTTTATTACAAATGTATATTATTAATTGTAGGAAAATTAACCAATAGATTGGGCCAAAAAAATCGACTATTTTTTTTGTTGTAAATTATATCGAAAATATTGTTTGGGGTAACAAAAAAAATTATGGTGAAAGTTTGAGTCCATAATATTAATATTAAGAGGTCTATAATCGCAATTTTAGATTTTTTTCTCCTGAGCGAATTTTTGTCTCAGAACTACCAAACCATTGAGTTTAACAAATTTGACTTAAGAATATTTTTTGAAGAAAATTGAATGCTCTACAAAAAAGGTTTGATTGGAATTTCCCGTCAGATGAACCGTTTTCTTACAATCATGCCTTAAAAATTTATATAGTTTTACAATTTGATCTTTTAACTTTGTAATTTTGTAATTCATGTAAAAATCAGTACACGAAAAAAAACGGATAAATATTTTTATGGAAAATCAAATTCTCTACAAAAGAAGTCTTTTATCATTTTTGGCTAAATTCACTAAATTAAAAGTTATTCAAGGTTAAATTTGAAGTCAAAACGATGCGATGATAGACCTCTTAATATTAATATTATGGACTCAAATTTTCAAAATAATTTTTTTTTGTACCCCAAACCATATTTTCGATATACTTTTCAAAAAAAATAGTTGATTTTTTTGGCCAAGTCTATTAACCAATCTACAAAAATGTCAGATATATATTTATTAAGTTACCCTACCCATGGTGGGTAACCCATTATCGATTCATCAATTCTACATTAATATTGTTTCTACACCAAAATAAGATGGTACCCAAATAATATGGTACCTAATTATATTTTACTATGAAGTGGCTGATTATGGGATATAATTTCGATTTCGACTTGTCAAAATTCACTATTTTATATTATATTAAAATAAGCAGCGCTGTGGCGGTATCAGGCATTTATAAGATGTCTTCAGAACATTAAAATGAAGATATCTTTAAGGCGTCTATCAAAAGACGTCTTTTAGACGTCTTTTTTGAATCTTCAGACATTCAGGCATAATACAGACATACAAAAGACATCTTCAAGACGTTGTGTGCTATCTGGGTATTATAGTAAGTATAATTAAACAATATTTTTAAATTACAAGAATTCTTTGGTTTGTTAAAATTCACTTTCGCAATATTCCGTAAAAGCTCAGATAATTGCTGTTAAAATATCGTATTTTTAATGTAAAAGTATTTAGACCGAACATTTTAAGTAACTTACTTACAGGTGAATCATCTTTAAAAGTAAATTAACTCAATAATTACGTAATGAGTTTAGCGGACTTTTAGCGTCAGATCATTGATTTAAGACATAAAAACAATGTTAAGATGTACACAACAAAAATAAAACCTCATTTTCATATATGCAATTTGGAAAAGGTTGCTGCTAGTACTCGATTTTCCGCCGCACGCGCCCTTCTTTTGTATTTATAAAAAAAACCTGAATTTTTTTGCGTTTTTCAGATATTTTATACTAGTAATTATAATTGATAATTGATAATTATTAAACTACCTTAGCAATGCACTGATTTTACATCGCACGATCGTGATATAATATTTGTCAATTATTAATTGTCAATTGTGAAACAAAAGTATAAAAAACTACAGGATGTGATTGAAGAAATGAATAAAAGAGGGCGCCAGGTTCGTCTTCGGAGGGCGCCTCTATTTAAATATTTGTAACAAAGATATTAAATTATCTAAACTGCATTTCTCGTGCGTAATTCTTGAAAAAATCGCCAATCGAAATTTTTTTAGTATGTTGTATAAAATTGATTATCATTAACTAATCGTAAAAATGCCGCCCCCTCATTATGCCGCTCTGGGCCGTTGCCCGGTTCGCCCGTATCTCGGGCCGGCCCGGGTCACGAGCGGCCGACCTGTCCGCCCCTAGGATAAATCGGCACTGTGTTACCGTTAATGTGTAAATTCCGTAAATGTATGCACTGACTAGCTAATGTGTACAATAGCTGATTTTGATACGTAAATGTAATCAGAGGCGCATTAACTTACTTACTAGTAGATGCCAGATGTTAACTTCTAAAATCAGCAAGACAACGTTTAACGTTATATTGACCTTGTGTTCTGAACATTTTTCCTTATAAGCGTCTTATCCTTATTAATAAGGAAAAATCCATATCGATGAGAAGAAATCCATATTTATCAGGATAAGATGTTTTAACCAACGCATTTTACAGACGGAAAGCAAAGATGACATTTTTTCTGGATGTAGTGGTATCAAACATATCGAAACAATTTCTGGATTTTATTTTAGTAAACAATAAAAGATAAATAAATTACGATTACATTTCTAAAATCAGTTCAATAACTTCAGGTACGAAGTTACTTAACAAATTTATAAAAAAAATATGAACATTTTTGAATGAATTAGTCAAAAATGACTAGCTGTCATAGTGAAAAAGTAGCCTCTAACAACTGAAGTCCACAGCAATTGGTATCCCGGACATTTACATTCAATTCCTTTGAAAAATTGTCCGCTGAATCCGCATCTACCGTTATAAAAATTAGTATAAAAGTTGCTGTTCATAAGAATTATTAGTGGCTGATTTTTTACTATGACAATTAGTCATTTTTGGCTTATTCATTTTAAGAGAGCAGCTTGCTAAAAATAAAAAATTACAATTATGAATATCTCGGTTGTTATAATTATTACATTATATTATAACCTTAAAAATTTAGATTTGTGGTTATCCTAGCATATAAATTATTTACACAAAATTTAGTGCATGAGTTATATTCTTGATTCAAGAGTAATTTTTTTTATTTTATTTTGTACCACCCAAAGCGGTTAAACATTTTTGTTTTTTTTTAGTTATACATTTAAGTTTTACTAGCAATGAACATTAAATGTTATAAATTGTATTATTAAAGAAAACTGACATTTTTTATTTTTAATTCATTAAAAGCAACACAATAGTTGTGCATATACAAGTACCTATATGCAAATTTGGTTTCAGGCCCGTTCCTGGGGTGTCTGGCGCCTACGTGCAGCATTTGTTGGTGCGCCCCTTTCATATTTAAATATAATACATTAAATGTTTTAATTTTAAGCCCTTAAATTTAAAAAATATATATTTTGCGACAAACTGGCAATATGGAATTGAAAATTTAAAAAAAAAACCGCTTAAATTAAGTATAAAAAATACTTATTAAATTACCAAACAAACAAAATAACAAAAACTATTCAGTGATAAATTACTCTAAAGAAAAAAAAAATCTAAACAATATAATAACTACAACTGGTTTTTAGTGACGTACTCTCTAAAAATGAATTAGTCAAAAATGACTAGTTTTAAATGTAAAAAAGCAGTCACTAATAACTTTAGTCCACAGCAATTTGTATACCGGACAGTTAACAGCTTATTATTATGTAAAATTATGAAAGTAAAGCAGTTTTTAAGATATAGTCAATTCCATATTATTTGGATAATTATAATAATTATAATTTACTAAATCTCAAAAACGTGCTACTTTTATAACTTTTGACGACATTTTCGGATTCAGCAGTTGACTATTTTTATTGACGATAATTATTAGTCGCTGCTTTTTCGCTATGGCATTTAGACTAATTGAATATAAGAATTGGCTGTTAAATTTTGGGATACCATGGTATTCCATGGTTATCCAAAGTACAAGTGAAAAAGCAGCCACTAATAACTATTGAATTAGTCATTTTTGACTAATTCTATTTTAGAAAGTAAGCTCGTTACAATGTACAATGTACTGTGTAGACTACTGTTAAACTTTGCTACCGTCAACTGCAACTATCAAACAAATACTAAAAATATTATGACCATTTGTCTCCTTTTATTTTGATCCTCCTATGTATGTTTAAGTATTATATGCAAAAAAGTTTATCGTTACAAAAAGGTGGGCCTGCGTGCGTGCCGCTCGCCAGGAACGGGCCTGTTTGGTTTATAAAATTTACATTAAATCCTTATTTATTAATAAAAACATTTGCTCTAGATACCTAAAAACTAACCAATAATTATTTATAATAATTTTATTAATATTAATATAATTTCAAAACTTCAGTAAAATAGTCTTACCAGTGTTTTTCGGTATATTGGATTTCTGGAGGGCATTTAAAATGTATTAATATTTGTGACATTTAAATGTAAGCATCAAACTAATAAAATTATTTAAGTTAACATGTGTTAACTGTGCAATATTTTTTTCACCAACACCAATAATTCGCAAATTGTTTATTTATCAATTTATAATTAAATTTTATCAAAAATAATGAATTGTTTTAACTTACTTCTGGAAGCTCTACAAACTCAACTCCATGTTGTGCTGTAGAATTTGGTTCAATAGTCCAAATTTTTAGTTTTCCTTTTTTGAATAACCCTTCTGTTGGTTGTAGTTTTAAATTATATGGTTGACCAAAAGCTTTTAGTTTTATAGTTGTTTTTTCCTTTTTTATTTGATAATTTAAACCTTTTCCTATTTTTTCGTCTATATCTATAAAGTTTTCGCTGTCACTTTCGTTGTGTATTGCCGGTAGGCTTCTTTTCTGCACATGTTGAATTTGTACGACTTGATATTCTGGCACTAAAAAATAATTATAGAGTAGTATTTTAAATATTTTATGTTTTAAATACTAATTAACACCGGATATTAGCAAATCACTTGATTTGTTAAGGTTTTTAAGATAAAACAAAACTCTACTTCAGAAAAAAGTGTTTATATTTCTATAACCTCTAATTACACTGTGCAACAAAAAAATCTTAAATGGAACCATGACAAATGGATACAATATTTCAAAAGCAACAGCAGCCCAGCAGATAAGACCTGAAGATGGTAGATGAGATTGTACTGCAACGTTCTCAGACATACGGTTCTTTTAAGAACCAAATATATGCATATATATATATATATATATATATATATATATATATATATATATATATATATATATATGTATATATGTATATATATTAGGGTGTCGCAAAAAAAAAGAATATTTTTTTTTTCTCGTCTCTTGTGAAAATATGTTGGTTTGTCATGTTTTAAGAGCCCTGTCAAAAGATCAGCACCATTAAAAAAATTTTAGGGGTCGCTCAAGATTTTTAAAAATTACCAAAATCGTCAAAAATTGTATTTTTTTTAATTTTAATTTTTTTTCTCGTTCCGATATTATTTTTTAATTTAAAAATAATAATGATTCTGAAAATTTCAAATCGATATTTTAATTTCTAAAGGTCGCTCAAGATTTTTTTAACTTACAAAGTAGAGTATTTTGAATGTTTTCGAGCGAAATCTGAGTATAAATATCAACGAACTTTTAGCGACCTTTAGAAATCAAAATATTGATTTGAAATTTACAGAATTTTTATTATTTTCAACCTAAAAAATAATATCGAGACGAGAAAAAGAATTAAAATAAAACAAAAATTCAATTTTTGACGATTTTTTAAATTTTTAAAAATCTTGAGCGACCCCTACAAAATTTTTAATCGAGCTGATATTTTGAAAGGGCTCTTACAGCATGATAAACTAACATATTTTTACAAGAGACAAGAAAAAAAAATATATTCTTTTTTTTGGGACACCCTAATATATATATATAAATATATATATTTTAGGGTGTTTAAAAAAAACAATTATTTTTTTTCTAATGGTGTTAAAAAATTAATAGTACATTAAAAAACAAAAATGTTGGCGCCTATTTGAGCCCTTAATATTAATATTAAGGTTTCCCTCAATTCATTTGTGGTTTTACCATTTCAATAACACGGGAATTTTTTTTTATTTTGAATTCTTATAACTTTGGAATGGTTTGTTTTCGCAACACCCAAGCGAGATTATTTCACGCTCTACAAAAAACATCTCAGTCAAAGTTCTTCAGATCAACCGTTTCAAAGATATCAGCGATCAAAAATAACACTAATCAAATTTTTTTAAATATTTTTCAATAAAACTACAGAATTATATTATAGGCTATATTTATATCATTTTTATTTAAAATCACTTTAATTCTGTTAACCTGAGACTGTAAACTTTTTTTTTTAACTAACTCACAAAAAGCACAAATGCATAAATATAAAGATTAAAAATATAATACTCTTATTAATGATGTTTGGGACTCTTTTATAACAAATTTATTTTATATTTTATAAAATTTATAAATTTTTGTAAAAAGAAAATGTAAAGTTCCTTATTACACTAACTATAGTTATGAGTTATAACTTATAACCAACATTATTGAAAATAATAGAAAAATTATGTTAATATTTTAAATCAATTAAATCAACTATAAAATTTAATCAAATTTTTTTATTTGAATAATATCGACAGAGCTTTATTTAGCAGATTGTTTGTTTTGTTGATTTTAAGTTACGATAAAACTAAAACAAACAAACAAACCAAACCAACCAATCCAACCCAACTCAAAACTTTTTAACAAGGGAATAACAAATTTATAAAATAAAAAAAAGTTCGATAACTTCTAGTAGTATCGAACCCGGTGCCTCTCGCATGCCAAGCGACCGCCCTCAGAACGCGGCGTGGCATTGATAGAGCAGTATAATCGATGCTTAACAAAAGATGAAGAACAGCTTCAATATTTGTTGCAGAACATAGAAAACGATATCATAATTGCAATAAAAGTAATTTTATACGACTGTAATATTTTTAAGTTAAAAAAATGTTCAACTAGTTGTTAAATATTGTTTGTTATATAAAATTACTTGTTCAATAAAATTTCTTAGTATTTAGTAGAAAATAAAATAAATTTGTTATATCGCTGATATCTTTAAAACGGTTGATCTGAATAACTTTGACCTTTAGATGTTTTTTGTAGAGCGTGAAATTTCCTATACCCTGGCTTGGGTGTTGCGAAAACAAACCATTTCAAAATAAAAAATAATATTCCCGTGTTATTGAAATGGAAAAACAACAAATGAATTGAGCAAACCTTAATATTAATATTAAGGGCTCAAATAGGCGCCACAAAATTTTTGTAGTATTAATTTCTCAACTCCATTGAAAAGAAATAATTGTTTATTTAAACACCCTAATATATAAATATTACGGTGGTCGTCATTTTTTTATTTAATATGTATATTAGTCTATAGACTGGGAACAATTTTAAATTTAAATTTTTGTCTATTGTTATTTCGATTAACTATTGTTTTTTTATTGATTTGGGTTCTATAATAGTTTAAATTTCGAATAAAATTTTATTTTTTATAAAAAATCCCAAAAAAACATGGTTATACCAAAAAATTAACTTAGATCGTCTTGAGACACGTGTTGTTTTTTCTAGTGTTTTTTCATCAAAACGAAGCTTTTTTACATATGAATAAAATATCATATAAAAACAAATTCTCAATGAGCATTGCTCATATATGGGTTATGTAGATCAATCTGATATGTTCAATTTTTTACACATAAAAAAATCTAACATAGTACAGCGTTGTCATTGAATGCATTAAAATTGAAGCAATGTAAATTGTTATTTGCTTAATTAACGACTTGTCAAAATTCACTATTTTATATTATATTAAAATAAGCGGCGCGCTGCGGCGGTATCAGGCATTTATAAGATGTCTTCAGAACATTAAAATGAAGATATCTTTAAGGCGTCTATCAAAAGACGTCTTTTAGACGTCTTTTTTAAATCTTCAGACATTCAGGCATAATACAGACATACAAAAGACATCTTCAAGACGTTGTGTACTATTAAACCAAAATAGGAAAACATTTTGCCTAAATGTCAAAGAATTTATTGCGTTAAATGTATACATAGTATACACACTATAGTAACGTTATTAAATAAATCAAATTAGTATATATAGTCCGGTCAAAATAGACATTTCAAATAACAAAAATTCCGACAGAGCTAAATTTTGGTAGAGACCTTGGGTGCACCAGTAGAAATAAAGTGCCAAAAGTCTCCATTGTCAAAGAAAACATTTTCGGTTTTTTTATTTTTCTCGAAAACGGAAGTTTTATAAAAAATATATTCTAGACAAAATTGTAGATCATAAAATTGTCTACAAAAATTTTCCTTATACTTTTTTTCCTAAGAATCACCATTACTAAGATATCGCCATTCTAAAAGTTGAAGGAGTTCTACATGATATGCACACAAATACCACGTACATACATAGTCAGGCACTTAATATAATTAAAAATGCCTATTTGTATCTCTTATATGTTTAAACCATACAATTCTGAGAATATACAATAAAAGTCCCTTAGCCAGTCCTTTCTATATTTTTGTCTAGTCGAATATGGTTTTAGTTTACACACGTAGCACATGTGGCAGGACCGGCGCACATACAGGTATTTGCACGATCTGGGCGGCCAAAATTATTTGTATGCTTAAATGGTATCTTAACCATGCCAATAGATGAATTAACTTGTTTTTAACAAAAAAAAATACTAATTTACAATACTTTTACTAAACGGCACAATGGAGTATTAAGAAAAATATGCTTAGTCAGATTCTTGGAATAATTGTAATTGTAATAAGTGTAATTATTACACTTTACATTTTCCTACACAAACAACACAGTACAATTAACCCAACGTAATAAGCATTTAGCATTTTTGTAATTAACTTAGTTAATTTCGTCATCGCTATCTGATGAATTATAGCTCGTGTATTGATCTTCAGATATGAACATTGATATTGCTTCTGGCAAACGTGTTAGCTTTTCTTTTCTATATTGTTCTCATGCTTCTCAACATAGGATCTGAACTAAGTAAAAGGCGATTGAATTTGTCCCTATTGCAGTTTTCTCGAAAAAATGTTCTTGCAAAGTTTTGTCGATAACTCCTGAAATAGTCATTACGAGCTTCAGCTGCCTCCTCTGAAAGCTGACCAATAGATAACAATGCTTTTTCAATATATTACTGCCCCATGAACTAAAATCTTGTGTAATGGTAGAGTCATAGGATGCCATGGGTACAGGTTAACATATACGTTAACGTACCTTCACATGAGAATAGTTGATCCTTTAGACAGTTTAGTTTAGCATCAATATAAGACACATCCGCGCTCTCCATGCCATAAAACAAGTGTTTTCGAGTTACTATTCTTACTGAGTCAAACCACGTCAAGTGGGACCAGAAAATTTCACGAAATCACCGATTTTGAAAATAATCACATTATTGTGTAGTAGGCATGACTTATTTGTCACAGTAAAAAAATTGTTTTAAAATTCGTTTTTTTGGTAATGGTATTAAGGTTGACAATTTTGTCAAACTTTAGAGCACGGTAAAATTGAAAAAATAGAATATCTGGGACCACTCTGTATAATTGAATTAAATTTTACACACTATTGTAGAAATGTTTAGAGTATATAATGATCATTTAATTAAGGTTAATTTGTTTAAATAAAATAATTTTGCATACATTTATTATAAACAATTGAAATTTTGTATGTGTTCTTCACGCTGAAAAAAAATTAATCTTGTGTCATAATATGCGGCAAACGTTTCCGTTTAATAAGATGTACTCAAAAATTTGCCTTTCATATGTCATTCCGGAGATATTAATTTTTTTGTCCGGCTGTGCGCTTGATCAGTACGCGGCGCGCTTC